TTGTGAGATCGTGATGGCTGCCAATGAAGAAGGACCGGAACTCATGATTCATGGAAGACAATCAGTCACTGTATCAAGATGACGAAGAACCCGGTCAATCACGGCCGTGCCAAGCTCATCGATATCAAGTACCATCACATCTGTGATGAGGTCAAGCGCGGTGAAGCTGAAGCAGAAAGTATTGTGAAACTGCGGTGATGTTAGCGGACATCATAATGAAGGGACTTCATGGACCACGCCATTGAGATGACGACGGCTACTAGGCATTCGTGAGCATTCGGATTGAGGGGGCGTGTTGACGGTCATCGGTTTTCTACCAGTGTTGGTAACCGTGACCGGTCCAATCCGAACCGCCTGTTCAGCCTAGTATTTACGACGTAGTTCTTACGGTAATTACCATAGTTGATTAGACGCGTAGGATGATGAGTACCCTTCACATGATTTATATGTACACCACATATAAATCATGTAGTAAGTAGTAAGTCCCGATAATCAATCACTTTCAAATCTTCCAACTATTGGGCAAGTGTTTTCTGCTCTACTCTCTTCGGTCTCTCCGCTCCGCTTTCCTCGCTCCGATCTACAATGCAACACATGCTTGACCACGGGCGAAAACGTCTCCGTGTAGTCGATTCCATACTTTGAGCGAAAGCCCTTTGCCGCGAGACGTGCCTTGTACTTCTCGATAGATCCATCCGCTTTACGCTTGATCTTGAAGACCCATTTTGTGCCAATGGCGCGTTGTCCGTTGGGCAGCTTGGCTGCACGAAACACACCGCGAAGTCGCATTGACTCGAGCTCTGCATGAATTGCTTTTCTCCAGTGCACTTGGTCAGGGGGCCGCTTACTGCTGCTTCAAATGTTGAGGGCTCTGATAAGTCCACTGCTGCTTCTAACGGCATTTGCACTCGCACGCCAAAACACAGGCGGTGTTGAATCACCAGAATCCTTCGTTTCTTCGTCTTCTTCTTGGCGTGACGAGTTGTTTTCCGGCGCGCTTGACTCTTCTAGTCCTGGTCGTTGACGCACTGCACGCGGTCGTGGAGCTGCTGTATCTTCATCATTGAGTCGGTTTCTTGCGCTTGCCTGTTTGCTTGTACTCCATTTGACGCAGCTCTTCGTCATCAAGATCCAGCAATTCGAAGTCCAGGTCATCGACATCTTCATCAGTGATCGGCAGTTGAAGTCAAAGGTGGACTCGTCGAAGTTGATATCGCGGCTGATAACCACCTGCCCCGCCTCGATGTCATAAACACGATATGCCTTCGAAACTTCTTCGTAGCCCACGAATATGCCAGCGCGAGCCTTTGGATCCCCCCCCGAGTCGATTCTCTTTAGGCGTCAGTATGTACGTCTGACATCCGAATGTTCGCATGTGCTTGACGCTTGGTTTCAAGTTGTAGACGATCTCAAACGGGGTCTTGTGCACGACTTTAGGTGACGGCAGTCGATTCTTGACGTAGATGGCCGTCATCGCTGCTTCGGCCCAGAAACACTTGTCCAGTTTGGCATGATGAAGCATGCTGCGGCCGATCGTGACAATAGTCCTAATGGCACGCTCTGCTGTTCCGTTTGTTTGATGTGCATACGGCACCGTTGTCTGCTGTTCAATGCCTTCGTCTTCGTAGAACAGTTGAAGCGAGTTGGTTGCAAACTCGCGAGCTCCGTCGTGTCGCACGAACTTGACCTTCTTACAGAATTGCGTCTGTACCATGGTGATATATTTCCGGATGTAGTCTTCACTCTTGGATTTCACTCGTAGACAAAATCCCTTCATGCATCCACTGGCTTCGTCGATGATCAGCAGCAAATATTTGCTGCCACCGAGCGAATCCTTTTCCATGGGCCCGCAGATGTCCAGATGAAGCAGCACAAACGTATCGTAGCTGCGCTTGTCTCGGTTGCTTGGAAATGGTTTTTGGACCATTTTCCCTTGTTGACATCCTCGACATGTAGTTGCTCCACCCGACTTGAGAGGGACTCGCACATCCTTGATCATGTTGGTCGCGATCATCTTGCGAAGTACATCGACTGGAGCATGACCCATTCTCGCATGTAGATCGGCACAACTGGTTCCACTTGTTGTCACATTCGCTGATCGTTGAGTCGTCCGAAGCCAGTAGAGTCCATCCACGAGATCCGCTGTCGCCACCACTTCCTGTGAGTTCTTGAGAGTCACATACTGTTGTAACTTGAGCGCGAGGCGAAGAGAAAACGAAGCGGAGAGACCGGAGAGAACGAAGCAGAGAACACTTGCTCACTTGAGGGAGGATTCGAAAGTGATTGATTTATAGGTCTTAACTTCTGCCTACCCTAGACTGCATCCAATCACATGGTGCATCTAATCAACCTGATTTACACGCGTCCAATCATCCTACGCGTCTAATCATCTCTGAGGTAATTACCGATGTAAAAACTATCTCGTAAGAACTACGCGCTAGGTTCGGATTGTACCGGTAACCCTCAATACGCCCCCTCAATCCGAACACGCACGGATGTCAAGCGCCGCCGTCAAGTCCTTGTGACGCGGTCCGTGAAGTCCCTTCGTCATGATGTCCGCCAACATCAACGTCGTCTCGCAGTATTCAAGCTTCACTTCGCCGCGCTTGACTTCATCACGGATGTGATGGTACTTGATGTCGATGTGTTTAGCGCGGCCGTGGTTGACCGGATTCTTCGTCATCTTGATGCACGACTGGTTGTCTTCACGGATGACGAGCTCGGGTCCTTCTTCGTTTGCAGCCGCCATGATCTCGCACAGCAAGCGATTGATCCACTTGCCTTCTTGGATCGCCAGGCTGAGCGCGATGTACTCCGCTTCGCTTGTAGACAGTGACACACTTGGCTGTTTCTTGCTGCCCCAACTCACCGGAGCACCCAATAGCATGAAGACGTAGCCGGACGTCGATTTGCGATCAGCAAGGTCACCGGCCCAGTCTGCATCTGAATAGCCACGAAAGTCGATCTTCGCACTTGGCTTGTAGCAGATTCCATGCATCTTGGTGCCTTGTAGGTAGCGGAAGATGCGCTTGACTGCAACCCAGTGTTCTTCTTGGGGTTTCTCCATGAACCGTGACACAAAGCTTACAGCATAGGCGATGTCCGGTCGCGTTGCAGTCGTCAGATGCATCAAAGCACCCACTGCTTCACGGAATGGGACATCCACCTTGCTTGCAGAGTTGCTCGGAACCAGTCGAGAGCTGACGTCCACCGGACTTGCCACAGCCTTGCACTCATCCATTCCAAAGCGCTTGGGGACATCGTCGACATAACGGCGCTGACACATAGTCACGCTGCCATCTTCACCGTCCAATAACTCGATCCCAAGAACAAAGGTACACTTGCCGCTGTCCGTCATCTCGAAGAGTGTCTTGAGGTCGTTCTTGGTGCGCGCAATCATCTCGAGCGAGCTTCCAGTCACCAAGACATCGTCCACGTAGACCAGCACAAAAACACAATGGCCTTCCGAAGTCATGATGTAGAGACATGGATCGAATCCCGACGCTTGAAAACCAATCGAGCGTATGAACTCGTCGAAGGTCTCGTTCCAAACACGCGAGGCTTGCTTGAGACCGTAGATCGCCTTGATCAGCTCGAGACAGTCAAAATCACCTTCCATCTTGACGCCTTCCGGAACAGCGCAGAACACCTTCTCCTTCATCACTCCATACAGGAACGCAGTCACCACATCGAGCTGGTCGAGGGGCCATCCAAAGTGCTTGGTAATGGCGATGACCATTCGCAGCGTCACATACTTGACCACGGGCGAAAACGTCTCGGTGTAGTCGATGCCATACTTTTGGCGAAAACCCTTGGCCACAAGTCGTGCCTTGTATTTCTCGATCGACCCATCCGCCTTGCGCTTGATCTTGAAGACCCACTTTGTGCCAATGGCGCGTTGTCCGTTGGGCAGCTTGGCTGCACGAAACACACCGCGAAGTTGCATTGACTCGAGCTCTGCATGAATTGCTTTTCTCCAGTGCACTTGATCTGGGCCGGTCACTGCTGCTTCAAATGTCGACGGTTCCGACAATTCCACTGCTGCTTCAACAGCATTTGCACTCGCACGCAAAACACAGGCGGTGTTGAATCACCAGAATCCTTCGTTTCTTCATCTTCTTCTTCTTGGCGTGACGAGTTGTTTTCCGGCGCGCTTGACTCTTCTAGTCCTGGTCGTTGACGCACTGCACGCGGTCGTGGAGCTGCTGTATCTTCATCATTGAGTCGGTTCTTGCGCTTGACTGTTTGCTGATACTCCATTTGACGCAGCTCTTCGTCATCAAGATCCAGCAATTCGAAGTCCAGGTCATCGACATCTTCATCAGTGATCGGCAGTTGAAGTCCAAAGGTGGACTCGTCGAAGTTAATATCCCGACTGACAACAACCCGCCCCTCCTCGATGTCAAATACACGATATGCCTTGGACACTTCTTCGTAGCCCACGAATATGCCAGCGCGAGCCTTGGGATCCCACTTGAGTCGCTTCTCTTTAGGCGTCAGTATGTACGTCTGACATCCGAATGTTCGCATGTGCTTGACGCTTGGTTTCAAGTTGTAGACGATCTCAAACGGGGTCTTGTGCACGACTTTAGGTGACGGCAGTCGATTCTTGACGTAGATGGCCGTCATCGCTGCTTCGTCCCAGAAACACTTGTCCAGTTTGGCATGATGAAGCATGCTGCGGCCGATCGTGACAATAGTCCTAATGGCACGCTCTGCTGTTCCGTTTGTTTGATGTGCATACGGCACCGTTGTCTGCTGTTCAATGCCTTCGTCTTCGTAGAACAGCTGAAGCGAGTTGGTTGCAAACTCGCGAGCTCCGTCGTGTCGCACGAACTTGACCTTCTTACAGAATTGCGTCTGTACCATGGTGATATATTTCCGGATGTAGTCTTCACTCTCGGACTTCACTCGTAGACAAAATCCCTTCATGCATCCACTGGCTTCGTCGATGATCAGCAGCAAATATTTGCTGCCACCGAGCGAATCCTTTTCCATGGGCCCGCAGATGTCCAGATGAAGCAGCACAAACGTATCGTAGCTGCGCTTGTCTCGGTTGCTTGGAAATGGTTTTTGGACCATTTTCCCTTGTTGACATCCTCGACATGTAGTTGCTCCACCCGACTTGAGAGGGACTCGCACATCCTTGATCATGTTGGTCGCGATCATCTTGCGAAGTACATCGACTGGAGCATGACCCATTCTCGCATGTAGATCGGCACAACTGGTTCCACTTGTTGTCACATTCGCTGATCGTTGAGTCGTCCGAAGCCAGTAGAGTCCATCCACGAGATCCGCTGTCGCCACCACTTCCTGTGAGTTCTTGAGAGTCACATACTGTTGTAACTTGAGCGCGAGGCGAAGAGAAAACGAAGCGGAGAGACCGGAGAGAACGAAGCAGAGAACACTTGCTCACTTGAGGGAGGATTCGAAAGTGATTGATTTATAGGTCTTAACTTCTGCCTACCCTAGACTGCATCCAATCACATGGTGCATCTAATCAACCTGATTTACACGCGTCCAATCATCCTACGCGTCTAATCATCTCTGAGGTAATTACCGATGTAAAAACTATCTCGTAAGAACTACGCGCTAGGTTCGGATTGTACCGGTAACCCTCAATACGCCCCCTCAATCCGAACACGCACGGATGTCAAGCGCCGCCGTCAAGTCCTTGTGACGCGGTCCGTGAAGTCCCTTCGTCATGATGTCCGCCAACATCAACGTCGTCTCGCAGTATTCAAGCTTCACTTCGCCGCGCTTGACTTCATCACGGATGTGATGGTACTTGATGTCGATGTGTTTAGCGCGGCCGTGGTTGACCGGATTCTTCGTCATCTTGATGCACGACTGGTTGTCTTCACGGATGACGAGCTCGGGTCCTTCTTCGTTTGCAGCCGCCATGATCTCGCACAGCAAGCGATTGATCCACTTGCCTTCTTGGATCGCCAGGCTGAGCGCGATGTACTCCGCTTCGCTTGTAGACAGTGACACACTTGGCTGTTTCTTGCTGCCCCAACTCACCGGAGCACCCAATAGCATGAAGACGTAGCCGGACGTCGATTTGCGATCAGCAAGGTCACCGTCCCAGTCTGCATCTGAATAGCCACGAAAGTCGATCTTCGCACTTGGCTTGTAGCAGATTCCATGCATCTTGGTGCCTTGTAGGTAGCGGAAGATGCGCTTGACTGCAACCCAGTGTTCTTCTTGGGGTTTCTCCATGAACCGTGACACAAAGCTTACAGCATAGGCGATGTCCGGTCGCGTTGCAGTCGTCAGATGCATCAAAGCACCCACTGCTTCACGGAATGGGACATCCACCTTGCTTGCAGAGTTGCTCGGAACCAGTCGAGAGCTGACGTCCACCGGACTTGCCACAGCCTTGCACTCATCCATTCCAAAGCGCTTGAGGACATCGTCGACATAACGGCGCTGACACATAGTCACGCTGCCATCTTCACCGTCCAATAACTCGATCCCAAGAACAAAGGCACACTTGCCGCTGTCCGTCATCTCGAAGCGTGTCTTGAGGTCGTTCTTGGTGCGCGCAATCATCTCGAGCGAGCTTCCAGTCACCAAGACATCGTCCACGTAGACCAGCACAAAAACACAATGGCCTTCCGAAGTCATGATGTAGAGACATGGATCGAATCCCGACGCTTGAAAACCAATCGAGCGTATGAACTCGTCGAAGGTCTCGTTCCAAACACGCGAGGCTTGCTTGAGACCGTAGATCGCCTTGATCAGCTCGAGACAGTCAAAATCACCTTCCATCTTGACGCCTTCCGGAACAGCGCAGAACACCTTCTCCTTCATCACTCCATACAGGAACGCAGTCACCACATCGAGCTGGTCGAGGGGCCATCCAAAGTGCTTGGTAATGGCGATGACCATTCGCAGCGTCACATACTTGACCACGGGCGAGAACGTCTCCGTTGTAGTCGATGCCATACTTCTTTTGGCGAAAACCCTTGGCCACAAGTCGTGCCTTGTATTTCTCGATCGACCCATCCGCCTTGCGCTTGATCTTGAAGACCCACTTTGTGCCAATGGCGCGTTGTCCGTTGGGCAGCTTGGCTTCACGAAACACACCGCGAAGTCGCATTGACTCGAGCTCTGCATGAATTGCTTTTCTCCAGTGCACTTGGTCAGGGCCGCTTACTGCTGCTTCAAATGTTGAGGGCTCTGATAAGTCCACTGCTGCTTCAACGGCATTTGCACTCGCACGCCAAAACACAGGCGGTGTTGAATCACCAGAATCCTTCGTTTCTTCGTCTTCTTCTTGGCGTGACGAGTTGTTTTCCGGCGCGCTTGACTCTTCTAGTCCTGGTCGTTGACGCACTGCACGCGGTCGTGGAGCTGCTGTATCTTCATCATTGAGTCGGTTCTTGCGCTTGCCTGTTTGCTTGTACTCCATTTGACGCAGCTCTTCGTCATCAAGATCCAGCAATTCGAAGTCCAGGTCATCGACATCTTCATCAGTGATCGGCAGTTGAAGTCCAAAGGTGGACTCGTCGAAGTTGACATCGCGGCTGATAACCAACTGCCCCGCCTCGATGTCATAAACACGATATGCCTTCGAAACTTCTTCGTAGCCCACGAATATGCCAGCGCGAGCCTTTGGATCCCACTTGAGTCGATTCTCTTTAGGCGTCAGTATGTACGTCTGACATCCGAATGTTCGCATGTGCTTGACGCTTGGTTTCAAGTTGTAGACGATCTCAAACGGGGTCTTGTGCACGACTTTAGGTGACGGCAGTCGATTCTTGACGTAGATGGCCGTCATCGCTGCTTCGTCCCAGAAACACTTGTCCAGTTTGGCATGATGAAGCATGCTGCGGCCGATCGTGACAATAGTCCTAATGGCACGCTCTGCTGTTCCGTTTGTTTGATGTGCATACGGCACCGTTGTCTGCTGTTCAATGCCTTCGTCTTCGTAGAACAGTTGAAGCGAGTTGGTTGCAAACTCGCGAGCTCCGTCGTGTCGCACGAACTTGACCTTCTTACAGAATTGCGTCTGTACCATGGTGATATATTTCCGGATGTAGTCTTCACTCTCGGACTTCACTCGTAGACAAAATCCCTTCATGCATCCACTGGCTTCGTCGATGATCAGCAGCAAATATTTGCTGCCACCGAGCGAATCCTTTTCCATGGGCCCGCAGATGTCCAGATGAAGCAGCACAAACGTATCGTAGCTGCGCTTGTCTCGGTTGCTTGGAAATGGTTTTTGGACCATTTTCCCTTGTTGACATCCTCGACATGTAGTTGCTCCACCCGACTTGAGAGGGACTCGCACATCCTTGATCATGTTGGTCGCGATCATCTTGCGAAGTACATCGACTGGAGCATGACCCATTCTCGCATGTAGATCGGCACAACTGGTTCCACTTGTTGTCACATTCGCTGATCGTTGAGTCGTCCGAAGCCAGTAGAGTCCATCCACGAGATCCGCTGTCGCCACCACTTCCTGTGAGTTCTTGAGAGTCACATACTGTTGTAACTTGAGCGCGAGGCGAAGAGAAAACGAAGCGGAGAGACCGGAGAGAACGAAGCAGAGAACACTTGCTCACTTGAGGTAGGATTCGAAAGCGATTGATTTATAGGTCTTAACTTCTGCCTACCCTAGACTGCATCCAATCACATGGTGCATCTAATCAACCTGATTTACACGCGTCCAATCATCCTACGCGTCTAATCATCTCTGAGGTAATTACCGATGTAAAAACTATCTCGTAAGAACTACGCGCTAGGTTCGGATTGTACCGGTAACCCTCAATACGCCCCCTCAATCCGAACACGCACGGATGCCAAGCGCCGCCGTCAAGTCCTTGTGACGCGGTCCGTGAAGTCCCTTCGTCATGATGTCCGCCAACATCAACGTCGTCTCGCAGTATTCAAGCTTCACTTCGCCGCGCTTGACTTCATCACGGATGTGATGGTACTTGATGTCGATGTGTTTAGCGCGGCCGTGGTTGACCGGATTCTTCGTCATCTTGATGCACGACTGGTTGTCTTCACGGATGACGAGCTCGGGTCCTTCTTCGTTTGCAGCCGCCATGATCTCGCACAGCAAGCGATTGATCCACTTGCCTTCTTGGATCGCCAGGCTGAGCGCGATGTACTCCGCTTCGCTTGTAGACAGTGACACACTTGGCTGTTTCTTGCTGCCCCAACTCACCGGAGCACCCAATAGCATGAAGACGTAGCCGGACGTCGATTTGCGATCAGCAAGGTCACCGGCCCAGTCTGCATCTGAATAGCCACGAAAGTCGATCTTCGCACTTGGCTTGTAGCAGATTCCATGCATCTTGGTGCCTTGTAGGTAGCGGAAGATGCGCTTTACTGCAACCCAGTGTTCTTCTTGGGGTTTCTCCATGAACCGTGACACAAAGCTTACAGCATAGGCGATGTCCGGTCGCGTTGCAGTCGTCAGATGCATCAAAGCACCCACTGCTTCACGGAATGGGACATCCACCTTGCTTGCAGAGTTGCTCGGAACCAGTCGAGAGCTGACGTCCACCGGACTTGCCACAGCCTTGCACTCATCCATTCCAAAGCGCTTGAGGACATCGTCGACATAACGGCGCTGACACATAGTCACGCTGCCATCTTCACCGTCCAATAACTCGATCCCAAGAACAAAGGCACACTTGCCGCTGTCCGTCATCTCGAAGCGTGTCTTGAGGTCGTTCTTGGTGCGCGCAATCATCTCGAGCAAGCTTCCAGTCACCAAGACATCGTCCACGTAGACCAGCACAAAAACACAATGGCCTTCCGAAGTCATGATGTAGAGACATGGATCGAATCCCGACGCTTGAAAACCAATCGAGCGTATGAACTCGTCGAAGGTATCGTTCCAAACACGCGAGGCTTGCTTGAGACCGTAGATCGCCTTGATCAGCTCGAGACAGTCGAAATCACCTTCCATCTTGACGCCTTCTGGAACAGCGCAGAACACCTTCTCCTTCATCACTCCATACAGGAACGCAGTCACCACATCGAGCTGGTCGAGGGGCCATCCAAAGTGCTTGATAATGGCGATGACCATTCGCAGCGTCACATACTTGACCACGGGCGAGAACGTCTCCGTGTAGTCGATGCCATACTTTTGGCGAAAACCCTTGGCCACAAGTCGTGCCTTGTATTTCTCGATCGACCCATCCGCCTTGCGCTTGATCTTGAAGACCCACTTTGTGCCAATGGCGCTTTGTCCGTTGGGTAACTTGGCCGCACGAAAGACACCGCGAAGCTTCATCGAATCGAGCTCCGCATCAATTGCCTTGCGCCAGTGTACTTGGTCCGGGCCAGACATTGCTTCTTCAAATGTCGACGGCTCCGAAAAATCGACCGCTGCTTCGACGGCGTTTGCACTCGCATGCCAAAACGCGGAGGAAGTCGGTGTGTCATGTTGTTCCTCCGACTTCCTTTCTTCATCTTCGTTGGGTCGACGTGAAGAGATGTCATCCGGCGCACTTGACTCTTCCAATCCGGGTCGTTGGCGCACTGCTCGGGGCATGCTTGCGTCGTCATTGTCGTGACTGGGTTGGGCCTTGCGCTTTCCTGTTTGTTTGAAGTGTCTCGGACGCGGTTCTTCATCATCAAGATCGATCGATTCGAAGTCCAGGCCATCAACATCGTCATCGGAAATCAGCATCGACATTCCAAAGGCCGACTCATCGAAGTTGACATCGCGACTTATCATCACCTGCCCCGCTTCGATGTCATAAACTCGATACGCCTTGGACACTTCTTCGTAGCCCAAAAACAATCCAGCCCGGGCCTTGGGATCCCACTTGAGTCGTTTCTCCTTCGGGGTCAAGATGTATGCTTGGCACCCAAAAACGCGCATGTGCTTGACACTTGGCTTAGAATTGTAGACAATCTCGAACGGTGTCTTGTGTGGAATCTTGGGTGACGGCAAACGGTTCTTCACATAGACGGCCGTCATTGCCGCTTCAGCCCAGAAGCACTTGTCCAACTTGGCATGATGGAGCATGCTACGACCGATGGTGACGATAGTTCGAATCGCGCGTTCAGCAGTTCCATTGGCTTGATGTGCGTATGGCACCGTGGTTTGTTGCTCGATGCCTTCGACTTCGTAGAAATCTTGGAGCGAGTTCGTCGCAAACTCGCGGGCTCCATCGTGTCGCACAAATTTGACTTTCTTGTTGAACTGCGTCTGTATCATCGTGATGTACTTCTTGATGCACTCTTCGCTCTCTGACTTGGAATGCAGACAAAAACCCTTCATGCATCCGCTGGCTTCATCCACGATCAGCAGCAGATACTTGCTGCCACCCAGATATTTTTCTTCCATGGGTCCGCAGATGTCGAAGTGGAGCATCTCGAAGGTGTTGTAGGTGCGCTTGTCACGGTTGCTCGGGAATGGTTTTTGGACCATCTTCCCTTCTTGGCATCCTCGACACACACTTGATCCATTCGGCTTGGAAGGGATGTGAGCGTCCTTGATCATGTGGCTTGTCACCATCCTGCGAAGCACGTCGACTGGAGCATGGCCCATTCGCGCATGTAGATCAACAGCGTTGCTGAGTGATGTCGCATTGGCCGATCGCTGCGTCGTGCGAAGCCAGTAGAGTCCGTCTACAAGATCCGCAGCTGCCACCACTTGATTGGAATCCTTGCGAGCGACGTACATCGTATCCCCGTCAAACACCACTTGGAAGTTGCCGTGCTTGTTAATCTGCGGCACCGAGAGCAGATTTTTGCTCATGCTGGGCACATAGAGCGCGTTCTTGATCTCGATCTCGCGCTCTTCCCCGTTTGGCAGAATCACCTTTTCCACGATGGTCCCCACACCTTTGATGGCCGCCTTGTTGCCATCAGCCACCAGGATCTCGCCATCATTGCCTTCGACCAAGCTTGCAAACTTGAACTTGTCGTGGCAGATGTGATGTGTTGCCCCGCTGTCAACGGCCCACATTCCTGGTCCATTCTTGTTCGTCGAAACTCCGCATTCGAACGAAACTGCAAACGCCACTCGATCGTAGCTGTTGCCTTCATCATAATGTCGCCACTGGACATTGTTTGCCCCGCGTCCACAACCATTGCCGCCGCGTTGGGCTCCTCGACTTTCATCCTTTTGCTTCGTCCAGCAACGCTCTGCCGTGTGCCCCACCTTGCCGCAGTATGTGCATTGGTAGGGCTTGCGCTCGGTACTGAATGCCTTTGTCGCATCTTCAGTCTTCACCGTTGTCGTTGCCGTTGTCATCTTCTCGCCTTGTCGCTTGATGTGCTCGTTAGTCAGCACCTTGACCACATCTTGCGTGCGCAGCTCTGCATTGCTCATTTCCAAGTTGAGAACCACGTTCTCGAAACTATTGGGCAGACTGCGCAGTAAGCAGATCGCAACGTCCTCGTCCTACATCTTGGCGCCGATGCTGCTGAGCTTGGCGCCGATGTTCAAGACTTCGTTGCAATGGTGCAAGACGTTGGCACCTTCCGCCATCTTGATGCTGAACAGCTGGCGCTTGAGGTAGATGCGTCCCGCCTTCTGCGACCCACCATAGAGCATCTTCAACCGCGACCACGATGTCCATGCTTCTTCACAGTTGTCGACCACATGGTGGTAGTCGGCGTCCATGTGGAGCAACATCAACCCGAACGCGATGTTGCTCGCCTTGACGTACTCGTCGGAAGCTCGCGTGTCGGTGAAGGTTGGAGACGTTTCGCGGTTCACGACGTACCAGACTGACTTCGTCAGAAACACGCCGCGCATGTAGCGACACCAGGTTGAGTAGTTGTCCCCATCGAACTTATCGATGGAGACACTGGCCGAGGTGTTGTTGGACGACATGGCGCTTGGGCTCATAACCTGTTGTAACTTGAGCGCGAGGCGAAGAGAAAACGAAGCGGAGAGACCGGAGAGAACGAAGCAGAGAACACTTGCTCACTTGAGGGAGGATTCGAAAGTGATTGATTTATAGGTCTTAACTTCTGCCTACCCTAGACTGCATCCAATCACATGGTGCATCTAATCAACCTGATTTACACGCGTCCAATCATCCTACGCGTCTAATCATCTCTGAGGTAATTACCGATGTAAAAACTATCTCGTAAGAACTACGCGCTAGGTTCGGATTGTACCGGTAACCCTCAATACATACATCTTGGACCCGTCAAACACGACTTGAAACTTGCCATGGCTGTTAATCTGTGGTACCGAGAGCAGGTTCTTGCTCATACTTGGAACATATAGTGCGTTCTTGATTTCGATCTGACGCTCTTCACCGTTGGGCAGAACCACCTTTTCCATTATGGTTCCCACACCCTTGATGGCCACCTTGTTGCCATCAGCCACCAAGAGTTCGCCCTCATTGCGCTCTGCCAAACTTGCGAACTTGGTCTTGTCGTGGCAAATGTGGTGCGTTGCACCACTGTCGACGGCCCACATTCCAGACACGTCCTTGCTCGTCGAAACTCCACATTCGAACGAGACTGCAGACGACACTCGATCGTAGCCATTGCCTTCATCATGATGTCCCCACTGGACATTGTTAGCCCCGCGTCCACGACCATTGCCGCCGCGTCGGGCTCCCCGACCTTCGTTCTTCTGTTTTGTCCAGCAACGATCCACCGTGTGTCCCACCTTGCCACAATACGTGCATTGGTAGGGCTCACGCTCGGCGCTGAATGCCTTGCTTGCATCTTCAGCCTTCACCGTAGTCGCTGTCGTTGTCCCTTTTTCTCCTTGACGCTTGGCATGCTCATTCGTCAGGACTCTCACCACATCTTGAGTGCGAAGCTCGGTGCTGCTCATTTCCATGTTGAGTATCACATTTTCGTAGCTCTTCGGAAGACTGAGTAGCAGACAAATTGCAACGTCTTCGTCTTCCATCTTCGCACCGATGCCGCTAAGCTTGGCGGAGATGTTGAGGACCTCGTTGCAGTGATGCATGACGTTCGCGCCTTCAGCCATCTTGATGCTGAAAAGTTGTCGCTTGAGGTAGATGCGTCCTGCCTTCTGCGACCCACCGTACAGCGTCTTCAGACTGGTCCACGCAACCCAGGCTTCCTCGCAGTTGTCCAGCACATGATGGTAGTCCGCGTTCATGTGCAGCAGCATCATACCAAACGCGACGTTGCTTGCCTTGACGTAGTCATCGGACGCTCGCGGGTCGGTGAAAGTCGGAGTCACTTCACGGTTGACGACGTGCCAGACGGACTTCGTCAAAAACACACCGCGCATGTACCGGCTCCACGTTGCGTAATTGTCTCCGTTGAACTTGTCAATGGAGGCGTTGCTGGTGGACGACATGGCGCTTGGGCTCATAACCTGTTGCATTGTAGATCGGAGCGAGGAAAGCGGAGCGGAGAGACCGAAGAGAGTAGAGCAGAAAACACTTGCCCAATAGTTGGAAGATTCGAAAGTGATTGATTATCGGGACTTACTACTTACTACATGATTTATATGTGGTGTACATATAAATCATGTGAAGCGTCTCATCATCCTACGCGTCTAATCAACTATGGTAATTACCGTAAGAACTACGTCGTAAATACTAGGCTGAACAGGCGGTTCGGATTGGACCGGTCACGGTTACCAACACTGGTAGAAAACCGATGACCGTCAACAGCAATGAGGGCGAACTTGGTGGCTGATGGCAACAAGGTGGCCATCAAGGGTGTGGGAACCATAATGGAAAAGGTGGTTCTGCCCAACGGTGAAGAGCGTGAGATCGAAATCAAGAACGCGCTATATGTTCCAAGTATGAGCAAGAACCTGCTCTCGGTACCACAGATTAACAGCCATGGCAAGTTTCAAGTCGTGTTTGACGGGTCCAAGATGTATGTGACTCTCAAGAACTCACAGGAAGTGGTGGCGACAGCGGATCTCGTGGATGGACTCTACTGGCTTCGGACGACTCAACTATCAGCGAATGTGACAACAAGTGGAACCAGTTGTGCCGATCTACATGCGAGAATGGGTCATGCTCCAGTCGATGTACTTCGCAAGATGATCGCGACCAACATGATCAAGGATGTGCGAGTCCCTCTCAAGTCGGGTGGAGCAACTACATGTCGAGGATGTCAACAAGGGAAAATGGTCCAAAAACCATTTCCAAGCAACCGAGACAAGCGCAGCTTGCTGACGGTCATCGGTTTCTACCAGTATTGGTAACCGTGACCGGTCCAATCCGAACCGCCTGTTCAGCTTAGTATTTACGACGTAGTTCTTACGGTAATTACCATAGTTGATTAGACGCGTAGGATGATGAGACGCTTCACATGATTTATATGTGCACCACATATAAATCATGTAGTAAGTAGTAAGCCCCGATAATCAATCACTTTCCAATCTTCCATCTACCCCCCAAGTGTCTTCTCCGGTCTTCCGAGTAGACTCCCAGCATCACTCCCAGTTTCGGTCGTCAAGCTTTTCACCATTCAACAGGTTATGAGCCCAAGCACGATGTCCTCTGCTCATGATGCCACCACCAAGATCTCCATCGACAAGTTCGACGGCGACAACTACGCGACGTGGAGCCGCTACATGCGTGGCGTGTTCCTGACCAAGTCGGCGTGGCACGTGGTGAACCGGGAGACCACCCCCCACCTTCGCCGATCCTCGCGCCAGTGACGACTACGTCAAGACGAACAACATTGCGTTCGGCTTGATGCTTCTGCACATGAGCGCGGATTATCATCACGTGGTTGATGACTGTGAAGAGGCGTGGGTCGCGTGGGCGCGTTTGAAGATGCTGTACGGCGGGTCGCAGAAGGCTGGACGCATCTACTTGAAGCGCCAACTTTTCAGTATGGAGATGGCAGAAGGCGGCAATGTGTTTCATCATTGCAATGAAATCCTCAACACCAGCGCGAAGCTGGCTAGCATCGGCGCCAAGATGGAGGACGAGGACGTTGCGATCTGCTTACTGCGCAGTCTGCCCAAGAGTTTCGAGAACGTGGTTCTGAACTTGGAGATGAGCAATGCAGAGCTGCGCACGCGAGACGTCGTGAGAGTGCTCACGAATGAGCACATCAAGAGACAAGGTGACAAGACGACATCGGTGAAGACTGAAGACGCGGCGAAGGCGTTCAGTGCCGAGCGTGAACCTCGCCAGTGTACATACTGCGGAAAATTGGGGCACACGGCGGAGCGGTGCTGGACCAAGCAGAAGGACGAAAATCAAGGTGGAGAGCGACGCGGCGGCAACAATGCTCGTGGACGCGGAGCCAACAACGTTCAGTGGCGAACCAACAGCAACTACGATGACAACTACGATCGAGTTGCGTTCGCGGTTTCGCTGGAGGCTGGACTTTCGACGGGCAAGAATATGCCAAGGATGTGGGCAGTCGACAGCGGTGCGACGCATCACATCTGCAACGACAAGGCTAAGTTTGCAAGCCTGAATGAGCGAGAGGAAGGCGAACTATCAGTGGCTGATGGCAGCAAGGCTGCGATCAAGGGTGTGGGAACCATCATGGAACGGGTGGTTCTGCCCAATGGTGACGAACTCGACATCGAGATCAAGGACGCACTGTTCGTACCAAGTATGAGCAAGAATCTGCTTTCGGTGCCACAGATCAACAAGGGTGGCAGGTTCCAAGTCGTGTTCGATGGATCCAAGATGCAAGTGAAGCGCAAGAATTCCACACAAGTCGTGGCAACAGCGGATCTCGTCGATGGACTTTACTGGCTGCGGACTCCTCAACGATCGGCAAATGCAGCAACACGCAATGGGACCATCGACTTGCATGCGCGCATGGGTCATGCACCCCTCGAAGTTCTGCGCAAGATGGTGGCCACTGGCATGATCAAGGACGCCAAGGCACCTCTCAACTCGACTGGTCCAAGTGTGTGTCGCGGTTGCCAGCAAGGAAAGATGGTTCAAAAACCATTCCCAACCAACCGTGACAAACGCCAATATGGTGTGTTCGAGTTGCTGCACTTCGACATCTGCGGGCCAATGGAACAAGTCTCGATCGGCGGCAGCAGATACTTACTGCTTGTGGTTGACGAAGCTAGCGGTTGCATGAAGGTCTTCTGTCTGCGGTCCAAGTCTGAGAGTGAAGACTGTATCAAGAACCACATTATCAAGATTCAAACTCAGTTCGGCACGAAGATCAAGTTTGTTCGGCACGATGGAGCGCATGAGTTTGCGACCAACTCCATCAAGACCTTCTACGAAGATCATGGTATTGAACAACAGATCACGGTGCCGTATGCACACCAGACCAACGGCACCGCAGAACGCGCGATAAGGACCATCGTCACGATCGGACGCAGCTTGTTGCATCATGCAAAGCTGGAGAAGTGTTTCTGGGCTGAAGCGACAATGACGGCGATCTACATCAAGAACCGCCTGCCTTCACCCAAGATCGACCACAAGACTCCGTTCGAGATCGTGTACAAGTCGAAACCAAGTGTCAAGCACATGCGCGTGTTTGGATGTCGGGCGTTTATCCTGACACCAAGGGAGAAGCGATTGAAGTGGGACCCGAAGGCTTGTGAAGGGATGTTCATGGGCTACGAAGAAGCGTCAAAAGCTTATCGAGTGTACGACATTGAGGCGGGCCAAGTGGTGATCAGTCGTGACATCACCTTCGACGAATCGACTTTTGACTTTTCGATGGACCGACCAAGTGACGATGATGAAGATGCGGAGTTGGACCTCGACCTCCTGGCGATCAACGAGGACGACGTGCGTCAAACCGTCTACAAGCAGACTGGCAAGCGCAAGAGTGAAGCAAGACCCGGCATGTCACGGTCAGCTCGCCCTCGAACTGGGTTGGAACAAGCAAGTGCGCCGGAACACGTCTCCAACCGTCACCAGAAACGACGATCAAGTGCTCCAGAAACGATGTCTGATGACGAAGAAGATGCAAGGGTGTACGATCAAGATGACGACTCGACGCCTCCAACATTTTGGCGTGCAAGTGCAAACGCAGTGGAAGCAACGGACCTAGCAGAACCTGTGACTTTTCAAGACGCGATCAATGGTCCTGATCAAACTCACTGGCGAAATGCTGTGAAGGCGGAACTCAAGTCGATGCATCTTCGTGGAGTTTTCCGTGCGGCAAAACTGCCAAGAGGCCAAGGCGCGATCGGCACCAAGTGGGTGTTCAAGATCAAGCGCAAAGCGGATGGATCGGTCGAGAAATACAAGGCGCGTCTCGTTGCCAAGGGCTTCAAGCAGAAGTACGGCATCGACTACACAGAGACGTTCTCGCCCGTGGTCAAGTACGTGACACTGCGTATGGTGATCGCGATCACCAAGTATTTCGACTGGCCACTGGACCAACTCGATGTGGTGACAGCCTTTCTCTACGGAGTGATGAAGGAGAAGGTGTACTGCGTGATACCAGAAGGCGTCGAGATGGATGGCGACTTCGACTGTCTCGAGTTGGTGAAGGCGATCTACGGTCTCAAGCAAGCTTCACGTGTGTGGAACGAGACTTTCGACGAGTTCGTATGCTCCATCGGTTTCGAAGCGTCGGCGTTCGACCCATGTCTCTACATCAAGGTTGTCGACGGTCACTGTGTGCTCGTGCTGGTCTACGTGGATGACGTGTTGGTCACCGGCAGCTCGCTCGAGTTGATTGCGCAGACGAAGGCCGACCTCAAGACGCGTTTCGAGATGACCGACAGTGGCAAGTGTACTTTTGTACTGGGCATCGAACTGGTGGACGAATCGGATGGCAGCGTGACAATGTGCCAGCGACGGTATGTCAACGACATCCTCAAGCGCTTCGGCATGGATGAGTGCAAGGCCACAGCAAGTCCGGTCGACTTGAGCACTCGGCTTGTCGCAAGCACCGAAGCGGCCAAGATCGACGTTCCGTTTCGTGAAGCTGTGGGAGCTTTGATGCACTTGACGACTGCGACGCGCCCGGACATTGCGTATGCTGTGGGGTACGTCTCGCGCTTCATGGAGAATCCGCAGCAAGAACATTGGACGGCGGTGAAGCGCATATTTCGTTACTTGCAAGGGACCAAGTCGCACGGACTCCGCTTCCAGCCAAGCGACAAGATCGACTTTCGTGGCTACTCGGACGCGGACTGGGCCGGCGACCACGCTGATCGCAAGTCGACTTCGGGTTACACTTTCATGCTGATGGGTGCTCCTGTGAGTTGGGGAAGCAAGAAGCAGTCAAGTGTGTCGCTGTCGACGAGTGAAGCGGAATACATCGCACTGAGTCTGGCCATCCAGGAAGGCAAGTGGGTGCATCGCCTGCTATGCGAGATTTTGGCGGCCGCAAACGAACCAGGACCGGACCTCGTCATCCGTGAAGAAAACCAGTCGTGCATCAAGATGACGAAGAATCCGGTGAATCATGGCCGCGCCAAGCACATCGACATCAAGTACCATCACATCCGTGATGAGGTCAAGCGCGGGGAAGTGCAGCTCGAGTATTGCGAGACTTCCGTGATGATGGCGGACATCATGACCAAGGGACTTTCGGGACCTCGTCACAAGGACTTGACGACGGCTCTCGGCATTCGTGCGAGTTCGGATTGAGGGGGCGTGTTGACGGTCATCAGTTTCTACCAGTATTGGTAACCGTGACCGGTCCAATCCGAACCGCCTGTTCAGCTTAGTATTTACGACGTAGTTCTTACGGTAATTACCATAGTTGATTAGACGCGTAGGATGATGAGACGCTTCACATGATTTATATGTGCACCACATATAAATCATGTAGTAAGTAGTAAGCCCCGATAATCAATCACTTTCCAATCTTCCATCTACCCCCCAAGTGTCTTCTCCGGTCTTCCGAGTAGACTCCCAGCATCACTCCCAGTTTCGGTCGTCAAGCTTTTCACCATTCAACAAACCTGCTCTCGGTACCACAGATTAACAGCCATGGCAAGTTTCAAGTCGTGTTTGATGGGTCCAAGATGTATGTGACTCTCAAGAACTCACAGGAAGTGGTGGCGACAGCGGATCTCGTGGATGGACTCTACTGGCTTCGGACGACTCAACGATCAGCGAATGTGACAACAAGTGGAACCAGTTGTGCCGATCTACATGCGAGAATGGGTCATGCTCCAGTCGATGTACTTCGCAAGATGATCGCGACCAACATGATCAAGGATGTGCGAGTCCCTCTCAAGTCGGGTGGAGCAACTACATGTCGAGGATGTCAACAAGGGAAAATGGTCCAAAAACCATTTCCAAGCAACCGAGACAAGCGCAGCTACGATACGTTTGAGCTGCTTCATCTGGACATCTGCGGGCCCATGGAAAAGGATTCGCTCGGTGGAAGCAAATATTTGCTGCTGATCATCGACGAAGCCAGTGGATGCATGAAGGGATTTTGTCTACGAGTGAAATCCGAGAGTGAAGACTACATCCGGAAATATATCACCATGGTACAGACGCAATTCTGTAAGAAGGTCAAGTTCGTGCGACACGACGGAGCTCGCGAGTTTGCAACCAACTCGCTTCAACTGTTCTACGAAGACGAAGGCATTGAACAGCAGACAACGGTGCCGCATGCACATCAAACAAACGGAACAGCAGAGCGTGCCATTAGGACTATTGTCACGATCGGCCGCAGCATGCTTCATCATGCCAAACTGGACAAGTGTTTCTGGGCCGAAGCAGCGATGACGGCCATCTACGTCAAGAATCGACTGCCGTCACCTAAAGTCGTGCACAAGACCCCGTTTGAGATCGTCTACAACTTGAAACCAAGCGTCAAGCACATGCGAACATTCGGATGTCAGACGTACATACTGACGCCTAAAGAGAATCGACTCAAGTGGGATCCAAAGGCTCGCGCTGGCATATCCGTGGGCTACGAAGAAGTTTCGAAGGCATATCGTGTTTATGACATCGAGGCGGGGCAGGTGGTTATCAGCCGCGATGTCAACTTCGACGAGTCCACCTTTGGACTTCAACTGCCGATCACTGATGAAGATGTCGATGACCTGGACTTCGAATTGCTGGATCTTGATGACGAAGAGCTGCGTCAAATGGAGTACAAGCAAACAGGCAAGCGCAAGAACCGACTCAATGATGAAGATACAGCAGCTCCACGACCGCGTGCAGTGCGTCAACGACCAGGACTAGAAGAGTCAAGCGCGCCGGAAAACAACTCGTCACGCCAAGAAGAAGACGAAGAAACGAAGGATTCTGGTGATTCAACACCGCCTGTGTTTTGGCGTGCGAGTGCAAATGCCGTTGAAGCAGCAGTGGACTTATCAGAGCCCTCAACATTTGAAGCAGCAGTAAGCGGCCCTGACCAAGTGCACTGGAGAAAAGCAATTCATGCAGAGCTCGAGTCAATGCGACTTCGCGGTGTGTTTCGTGCAGCCAAGCTGCCCAACGGACAACGCGCCATTGGCACAAAATGGGTGTTCAAGATCAAGCGCAAGGCGGATGGGTCAATCGAGAAGTACAAGGCACGACTTGTGGCCAAGGGTTTCCGCCAAAAGTATGGCATCGACTACACGGAGACGTTTTCGCCTGTGGTCAAGTATGTGACGCTGAGAATGGTGATCGCAATTTCCAAGCATTTTGGATGGCCCATCGACCAGCTTGATGTGGTGACAGCTTTCCTGTATGGCGTCATGAAGGAACAAGTGTTCTGCGTGATTCCTGAAGGCGTCGAACTTGACAGTACGTTCGACTGCCTGGAATTGGTGAAGTCAATTTACGGCCTCAAGCAAGCTTCGCGAGTGTGGAATGTTGACGGTCATCGGTTTTCTACCAGTATTGGTAACCGTGACCGATCCAATCCGTACCGCCTGTTCAGCTTAGTATTTACGACGTAGTTCTTACGGTAATTACCATAGTTGATTAGACGCGTAGGATGATGAGACGCTTCACATGATTTATATGTACACCACATATAAATCATGTAGTAAGTAGTAAGCCCCGATAATCAATCACTTTCGAATCTTCCAACTATTGGGCAAGTGTTTTCTGCTCTACTCTCTTCGGTCTCTCCGCTCCGTTTGCTCCGCTTTCCTCGCTCCGATCTACAATGCAACAGGTTATGAGCCCAAGCGCCATGTCGTCCACCAGCAACGCCTCCATTGACAAGTTCAACGGAGAGAATTACGCAACGTGGAGCCGGTACATGCGCGGTGTGTTTTTGACGAAGTCCGTCTGGCACGTTGTCAACCGTGAAGTGACTCCGACTTTCACCGACCCACGAGCGTCCGATGACTACGTCAAGGCAAGCAACGTCGCGTTTGGTATGATGCTGCTGCACATGAACGCGGACTACCATCATGTGCTGGACAACTGCGAGGAAGCCTGGGTTGCGTGGACAAGTCTGAAGACGCTGTACGGTGGGTCGCAGAAGGCAGGACGCATCTACCTCAAGCGACAACTTTTCAGTATCAAGATGGCTGAAGGCGCGAACGTCATGCATCACTGCAACGAGGTCCTCAACATCTCCGCCAAGCTTAGCGGCATCGGTGCGAAGATGGAAGACGAAGACGTTGCAATTTGTCTGCTACTCAGTCTTCCGAAGAGCTACGAAAATGTGGTACTCAACATGGAAATGAGCAGCACCGAGCTTCGCACTCAAGATGTGGTGAGAGTCCTGACGAATGAGCATGCCAAGCGTCAAGGAGAAAAAGGGACAACGACAGCGACTACGGTGAAGGCTGAAGATGCAAGCAAGGCATTCAGCGCCGAGCGTGAGCCCTACCAATGCACGTATTGTGGCAAGGTGGGACACACGGTGGATCGTTGCTGGACAAAGCAGAAGAACGAAGGTCGGGGAGCCCGACGCGGCGGCAATGGTCGTGGACGCGGGGCTAACAATGTCCAGTGGGGACATCATGATGAAGGCAATGGCTACGATCGAGTGGCGTTTGCAGTCTCGTTCGAATGTGGAGTTTCGACGAGCAAGGACGTGTCTGGAATGTGGGCCGTCGACAGTGGTGCAACGCACCACATTTGCCACGACAAGACCAAGTTCGCAAGTTTGGCAGAGCGCAATGAGGGCGAACTCTTGGTGGCTGATGGCAACAAGGTGGCCATCAAGGGTGTGGGAACCATCATGGAAAAGGTGGTTCTGCCCAACGGTGAAGAGCGTGAGATCGAAATCAAGAACGCGCTATATGTTCCAAGTATGAGCAAGAACCTGCTCTCGGTGCCACAGATTTGATGAACTTTAGACTTCTTGGTCCGAGTGCAAAACGCAAAGTGAATATATATTTATAATAGGTACTTAGTTCGCAACTTTGAATACTACCTCTAAGCCTATTATTCGCAGTGACGTCATCCAGTGACGTCACCCACTGACGTCATGCAATGACGTCATCCAGTGACGTCATTTCCTGACTTCGCCCTTACTGGTACATACCGGTACCCACCGGTATAGCGAAGCTTGGTCTTCCACTTGCTTCAACACTTGACGCAGCTTGACGAGGTGTCTTCTTCACAGCCGCTGTCTTTTCAACACTCCCTCTCGACTCGTTAGCTGCGGCACCTTGGATCCCAAGTCGATCGCGAATGTTTTCAAATTGTACAGCGGCGATCGGCTTGGTCATCATGTCTGCCAGCATATCTTGAGTCGGGCAATACTCCAAAACGACTTCACCTGATTCCACCTTCTCACGCACAAAATGGTAGCGTATGTCGATGTGTTTTGTTCTCTTATGGAACTCCGGGTTCTTGGCGAGAGCGATTGATCCTTGGTTGTCTTCATACATCTTGATCGCTTCGTCGCTTGTCATCTCACCAAGTTCCCCCAAAAGCACTTTGAGCCATACTGCTTCTTTGGTTGCTTCGGAAAGCGCCATGTATTCTGCTTCTGTTGAAGATAGCGCGACCGTCCGTTGTTTCTGGCTTTTCCAGCTGATGCATCCTCCGCTCATCATGAACACATAGCCGCTTGTACTTCGTCTTGACTCAATGTCGCCGGCCCAGTCTGCGTCGGTGTACCCGCAGATACGGCTTCCTTCTTCACGTGTAAACTCAAGACCATGATTGGGCGTTGCTTGCAGGTATCTCAGCACACGCTTCAAAGCTTGCCAGTGAGTCGGGCATGGGTCGGACGAGAACTGGGATAATGATCCCACTGCAGCAGCTAGATCCGGACGTGTGGCGACCATGAGATACATGATGCCTCCGACAGCACTTCGATATGGCACGTTGCACATGGTGTCTTCGTGCTTGCATTCTTGTTCACACATGTTCTTGGTTAGCTTCAGGCCGGGATCTTGAGGCGTCTTCACTGGCTTGCTGTTATCCATTCCGAACTTGGTTAACACGGACTTGAGAAACTTGGTTTGTTGTACAGTCACCATTCCCGTCTTACGGTCGTTCTTGATCTCCATGCCGAGAAAGTAATCGAGCTCACCGAGATCCGTCATTTCGAAGCGTTTGCTCAGCGCCATCTTGGTTGACTTGAGGAGTTCGTTGTTGCTGCTGGCCAGGATGAGATCATCGACGTAGAGCACCACGAGAATCATGTCTTGGTCGTCTCGCTTGATGTAGATGCAGTGGTCCGATTCGCACTTCTTGAATCCCATCTTGATCATGAACCCATCGATTGTTTGGTTCCACATGCGAGGCGATTGCTTCAAGCCGTAGAGTGATCTCTTTAGCTTGCACACATAGTCCGGCTGTGTTGCATCCAGGTATCCGTCCGGCTGGTCCATGTAGATGTCTTCGTTGAGGGAGCCGTTAAGAAACGCTGTCTTGACGTCCATCTGATGTAGCATTAGGCCGTACTTGGCCGCCATACTGAGCACCACACGAATCGATGTGAACTTGGCCACCGGTGCGAAAGTTTCTTCATAGTCAACTCCGAATTTCTGTGAGAATCCTTTGGCCACAAGTCTTGCCTTGAAACGTTCAACTTCGCCATCTTGATTCTCCTTTACACGAAAAACCCATCGGCACCCGATGGCCTTGCGACCTTTCGGAAGAGGCACGATTTCCCACGTGTCGTTTCTCTGAAGCGAATCGAACTCCGAGTCACACGCTTCTTTCCACTTGCCGGAGTCGCTTGATTCCATCGCCGACTTGAATGTAGTCGGCGTTTCCCCCACTGAATCAACGATGTAGGCTGCTTCAAAATCCATTGCAGCCGCTGACACATGCTCAAGCGACGGACCTCTGTATGTTCTTCGCTTGGGACTTGGAATGACGGTAGCTTTCTCAAGTGATTGAGTGCGCGTGTGTCTCTTGATGTTGCTCTTCGAAGACCTGGTGTCTTCGTTGTCATCGTCGCTCGAGTCCATGTCGTCGTCAGTTTTACCTTCTTCTTTTTCTTCGTCCTCATCATGATCATCAAACTCAACGACACTTGACTCATCGTTGTAGTTGCGCGGACCTTCATCAAACTTGTCTTCCATGAATGTGGCATCGCGACTGATCTTGATCGCTCCTGTTGACACTTCCTCAAATCGATATGACTTCTGGTGTTCGGCGTATCCCAGGAAACGACAGAGTGATGACTTGGAGTCGAACTTCGCGCGTTTGTCTTGAGGCACTTGAACATACGCGTGGCATCCAAACACTTTAAGGTTGGCCAGAATCGGTTTCTTCATCGTCCACACTTGATATGGAGACTTGTCTTGGTGAATGGCACGTGTTGGACAGCGGTTTCGAAGAAACATCGCCGTCATCACTGCTTCACCCCAGTAGCTCTTTCCCAGTCCAGCGTGTTCCATCATGCAACGCGCACACTCGACCAGCGTGCGATTCATTCTCTCAGCTACTCCGTTTAGCTGAGGAGTATATGGGGGTGTGAACCTTTGTTGTATTCCCCGTTCCGCGCAGAATCGTGCCAGCTTGTCGGACTTGTATTCACCCCCATTGTCGCTTTGAAGGTACTTCACGCGCTTCCCGGTTTGCGTTTCGGCCATCGCAGCGTATTCCATGAACTTCGCCGCAACTTCAGATTTGCTCTTGAGCAGATAGACGACACAGTATCTTGACTTGTCATCAATGAATGTCACGAAGTACCGTTTTCCACTGAAAGTTGCCATCGACATCGGTCCGCATACGTCGCTGTGAATCACTTCGAGGAGTTTGGAGGTGCGAGCTGTAGTGTTTGATTGGAAGCGCACTCGAGTCTGTTTTCCCAGAGCACAACCTTCACACACGTCCCACTTCTTCACCGAAGATATGTCGATGCCAATTCCAATGTTCTTCGTCACGATGCAATTGAGTCCATCGTGACCTATGTGGCCAAGCCGAAGGTGCCAGAGGTACGACTTGGTGCCCCCTTGACATCCCGACGACTTGGCTGCATTTGCTTGTTCCGGCGCCACTGGAGTCATTTGCAGCTTGAACAGTCCTTTACCTTCACGGGCACCAATTTTCCACTTGGTCCCTTTCGCTTCTCCATAGCACCCATCCTTCGTGAACGTCACTGGGCCGACATCCTTGGTGAAGCGGCCGACCGAGAACAGGTTTCTGGATAACTTTGGGATGTGCCACACGTTTGTGAGCACACCTTTCTTCATCCCTTGGGGTGTCTTCATCGACATGACAATGTCCCCACTGCCGATTGCTTGGACGATTCCATCATCCGCGAGATGGACATCCACAGCGTCAAACCCCTTGTAGTTCCGCATGAACTTCTTGGAGCACGTCATGTGCTGCGTCGCCCCGGAGTCGACCAGCCAGATGTCGCTCGATTTCGCAGATGTCGTTTCACCGATCGAAAAGAGGTAGTCGCCCGAGTCTTCTTCTTGAGCGACGTTTGCACGTTGTGATCGATAGCGGTCGCCGCTGTCTTGAGCACGCTGTGGCCGGTGTCTCTCCGTGTTTTCTTGGATGCGCGAGGGGCACTCCGCCATCC